TTTAAATTCTGACAATGTGAGCAAAGGGAGTGTTTTCCAGTCCGCGCAGTGTCTGACAGCCCAGCTGAGGCGGGAGTTGGTCGGCGATGCCCCTTTGCTGCCTCTGCACATGATGCTCCTTGCGAAGGAGCGCCTTTACGTGGGGGCACGGCAGGAGTTGTAAACCTTCTGCTGTGTACTTCCCGAGGTTTGTCATAGCTCTTTTAAGCCCAAGAAATGACGTATAAAAATGACAAATCTGGTGGATTGGGATGACTTCGTTTTGGCATTCACGTAGATTTCGCTGTGAAGTAATTAGTGCTTCCTTCCGTGTCACTTCTGCGAGTAAATGGCAAACAGAACCGCAGGCAGAGCAAGGCTCCATCCTGCTCATTTGAAGGGCTGCCTGACTCCGACGACGACGGGTGCTGCTCCGTGGCTCCCTCGCCCCGCTGACTCCTTGTCCTCCCTCGCCATCTGGCTCCGATAAGCCTTCAGTGCTCACTGAAGTTCACCCTAAAAATTCCTGCAGTAACGTATGCCAAGTGCTAGGTTTCCCATAGTAAAGGTCCTGAAAGTTAGTCTGCTGTAGATGAATTAACCTGGCTGTGGGGATTTGCTTTTGGGGAGAGGGTGTTTGGGTTTTTGGAGGAGTGGGGATGAAAGGGGCGTTACTTGTTTCGGTCCTAACCACCGGACCAGAGTAGTAGTAATGATCTGTGGTGTGTTGCGGTATCGCATCGGTTCAAACCGAACAAGCTCGGTGCATGACTTCGTACAGGCTTTCTCATAGAATCCTAGAATGTTTTGGGTTGGAAGGGACCCCCAGAGCCCACCCAGCCCAACCCCCCTGCAGGAGCAGGGACACCTTGAACCACATCAGGTTGCTCACAGCCCCGGCCAACCTGGCCTGGAATGGTCCCAGGGATGGGGCCCCCACCCCCCCTCTGGGCATCCCCTGCCAGGGTTTCACCACCCTTCACTACCCATCATCTGCAAACTCAACGAGAGCGTGCTCTGGTACCTCTCCCAGATCACCGATAGCCATGTTGAGCAGGACGTGTCCCAGGACACATTCCAGCAACAGGCCACTTGTTATTGGTCTCCATGTAGAATTTGACCCATTATCCACTGCTCCAAGCCTGATCAGCCAGCCAGCCACTCACCCATGCGGACTGTGACATCCCAGCTTGGATACTGGAGTACTGCGGGGGGAAAAAAGTATAAAGCCTTGCTCGAGTTGAGGTGAATGATGCCTACAAATTCAGTCACCAGAGAAGACAGTCGGGCTGGTCGGGTGTGACTTAGCCTCAGTAGATCCATGCTGACGGATCCCCGTCACCTTTTCTTTCGTGTGCCCAGCGAATGTGTGCCAAGCAGACTTGCTCCGTGATTTTCCCAGGAACTGAAGTGGGGCTGGCTGGCCTCTGTTTCCTTGGAATTGTCCTTTTGACCTTAACACATACTTTGGGTTAATGCCAAAAACCCCTGCGTACACACGCGCACGAGCACAGTCAAAAGAGTTCATCTGTTAAATTGACTTTCTTGGCTTTTACTGATAATAAACCCAGTATTTAACAGATATTTTATGAATTTGTAGGATAAAAATTGACAGCTTCATAGGAATTGAGATGCAGGGTACCCTCAAGGTCAAGACCCTAGAAAATGAGGGCGCCAGGTTCCTGTTGCTTTGGTTTTGACTTGGAGCCATGGTAGAAATCGTTCAGAGCATCAGGCAAATGCCTTGCCTGGAAACCACAGAGCAGCTGATTTTGGCAGTTACAGGCAGCTGAAAAGAGGCTCTCGAGGGAACTGTTGGGCAGTTTAATAGGTGATGTTATGAGCCCTGGTCTTAACGTAAGAGTTTTACTACAGACATTTGAAAAAAGGGAACCACGAGCTGCACAAGCACCACTTCACGTTGGTGTTTTGGCGGCCAAGCAGTGGGGTTTGTAGTTCTCAATTTTTTATTCTCTCTGTTCTTTTTTTTTTTTTTTTTTTTTTTTTAAAAAAAAGGCTCATATCACAGTAGCATTGCAGGGAAGTGCTATGAGAATTGCAGTGCAATCCCTTGTCATGGGGAGATTCCCTCGCATGTGCCCCGATGTGAGCTCGTGGGGAGTGACCCTGGCAGCCGCTCTTGGGCTGGAGGCCTTCTCTTCCAGGGTGATTTACTGCCCTTTGGGAGGGCAGGTGACTCTGTAATTATATCCTACTAATCTCGATCTTTTCCAATTTCACTGGTAATTTCCCATGTGGAAGTTTCCCACATAAATGATTTCAACTTCACTTTGAGAAGAAAACCAATTCTTTATGACTGCAAGATATAAGTTACTGGGGTTTGGCTTTTTTTTAATTTACCCTCGATAGAGCCTGTTCTATTTTATCTCATTTTCCATTTATTTCCATAGCTTTAATTAACTTTCTCCTTGAAATCATTGAGATCTTGCATGCTGTTGAGTTCCGATTAATGAGCTGTGTTCACCCAGAAGATTTCTGTCCTTTTTAAATACAAGTGCCGTCGTGTTCCAGGCGTGTTCTGCCGGTCCCACGCCGACAGATTTATTGCTGGTCCTTCAGTCCTTGTGTGCACCAGCCCTGGAGTGATTCCCCTCTTGTGTGGGTTAGGATTCTGCAAGGTTGGCTCTCCCGTTAGTTTTAGTTGCTTCCATAGTTTCCATTTGTACGCATTTTGAGCTTGACTTTTCTTCCACACTCTCAATTTTCAGGCAAAATTTAATTTTTTTGCTCAGCTTAATTTTCTAAAACACAGCACTCCCCCCTTGCCCCCATTTATCTCTTTTCTTCCCTTTTTTTTCTTCCCCCGCCCCCATTATTCCTAATATGCCGTGTATGGTTATTGAACACGGGCTTCTGCCCTTCCCTTCAAGCTTGCCCGCTCAGCCCGCGACACGAATTCCAGAAAGCTTTGTCACCCCTGCTTTGGATGTTGTCGGCTCCTTCCTGAGCTGGTGTGGGAGATTGGAATAATTTCTCCCGTTTACTAGAAATGTGCCTTTCAGAATTATCTTTTTTTTTTTTACGGATCTAGTTTTGATCACTTAGGCTTATTTTCTGTTAACATACCCTTTTTGATGTTTAATCACTGCCGGTGCCTTAAATCACCTCACAGCTGGTTCAGTGGCTGCTTAGGGAAGAATTCTGGTCCCTGTCCCATCTTGGAAGATGTTAGGCCTTACTGATATCAGCGCCCTTAGAGGAATTCTCCTTCGCAGCGTCCTCGGACCGCAAGTACATCGGCGACCCCGGCTCGCTCGTTGAGAGATTTGCCTTTTCCAAAGGGATTTTTGATGCCAGGACAGTTCTGCTTCGTCTGTACGCAGCTGCCCTGATATCTTATATCGCATCCTTTCCTCATCATGCCTTCTACACACCTTCTCCGGTATTTCCACCTTTCCTGAGACATCAGAGCTGGCAGCTCCGGCTTGGTCGCGTGGAGGGGCTGGAGCAGTAAGGGGGCAGAGGGGCTCCGGGGGGGACATTCAGCAGGCGTCCTTCCATCCGCACGCCCGTAGGGAGCACGGCGTGGGGGAGTCCCTGCAAAGCTGCCCTCCTCCTGTCGCGGATGGAGTGAGAGGGAGGCCAAAGTAATATGGTTTATTGGTGTGAAACAGTGAGTTCAGTGGTCAATGCCACAACAGTTTATGAGATTCGATGGCAAGGTACGCTTGGTTATTTACTGCACAGAGGCCAGGGTCAGACAAAACTGTCAGGGAGACCCTCCCGTTGGGTCGTGAGGTTCAGAAAAGATCCCCTGGCTTTCTGAACTCCCTCAGAGAGGAGTCTGGGTGCGGCTGGATCCAATCCTAGTCCCCGACTTGGTCAATGGTTTATGTCTCAAGGATATATATGCGCAATCAACCCTTGATGTCACTTAGCCAAGGTTTCGGAGTTAGCATGCTGTGAGCCCCGCACCGAGGATCTGTTGCAGTAAGGAATCTCTCAACCTCGAGGAGTAACCTTGAGAGGCGTCCCTGCTCAAAGGGAGATCCTGGAGTGCAGCCCGCTGCCCTGCAGGAGAGCTCAAAGGGCTCTTGGGCTGCTCAGTATTTATGGGGGTAAGAGAATTGGCTCATAGTCATATACCACTGTGCTTAGATGGGCACATGCCACAATAGCCCTTGGGTATTGTATTGTTATCTGTCTCCCCCCACATCCAGTGGGTGCATCTTTCATGACCAGACACATCTACCACTACTGCCAGAGGTGGTTATCACTTAAAAGACGTCGAGGGAGGGGGAGTCGGAGGCGAGGGGGGAGCACCCCCCCACACCTCCCTGCCACCTTCCGGGACCTCCCTCCCTCCCTCCCGTTTGTTTTCCATAGCTACACAAGGTTGCTGAGCGTCTTGCTCCAGCCTTTCCTTGGCTTCAGAAATGCCTTCAGCCCCACCTGGCTAATTAAAAATCATACCTGGCGTCACCAAAAACGTTTTCCTCGTGTAAGACCCCATCCCCTCTTGCCCATCCCTCGGCTGCGTGGCTGGCGAGTTCTGCCCCTGGAGCTGGCCGTCGTGCCCCCGCGCTCTGGCCGCTCCGCGTCCGGTGCTCCCTGTAACGCCGTGCTACCGGCGTCCAACGTGCTGCTGGCGCGCGCCGGATCTGCCGGCAGTTTTGGCTGATGGTGACTCTTACAACTTCCATAATTCCGGCAGAATGCTCCAAGGGTTTTACAGAGTTTTATTTTGAAGGCGTAAACACAAAGACGTGACGTTCTGTACCGCTTCTGGTGCCTCCGGGCTCCCGCTTCCTTGCTGTTGCCGTTCACGCGCGGCAGAACTGTTTGAGCGGGTGCGGTGGGAGGGAGGAAAGGGGGGGATTTGTGTCGTAGCATGTTTGACCGCGTTCATTTATAAACTTTATCTTCATAGCAAGTGATAAGAAGTTATGTTCGGAATAAAACAAAAAGAGATTTCTTGGGGTTTAAATGGATTGAAATAATTTCTCCTTCTCTGCAGTAAGCGTGTATTTACCGTAGGGTTTTGGTGTGTTTTCTTACAGATGTTTTCTCTCAGATATCAGATTCAAATGGCCTAATGATATTCACAAAGTTTGATCAGTTTTTGAAAGAAGTTCTGAAGCTTCCCACAGCCGTGTTCGAGGGGCCTTCTTTCGGATACACGGAGCATTCCGTACGGACCTGTTTCCCACAACAAGTAAGAGCTGACCCAGCAGGATTTGTGCGTCGCTCGGTCGCGTCCCGCTTGCTCCTGGCGTCCCCTGCTGCTCGGGCCGTCGCTGGCGGCGGGGTTTGGAGGGAGGGGGGTGCTAGCGGGCACTGCCTGACCTGAGCAGCGTTAAGGAATGATTTCCAGCAGCCCGTCCGGGGCTTGGGCGATGCGAGGACCTTGCACAAGTGCGGTTTGTTCCCCCTCCTTGAAGGGACACCTCGGTTCCCCATCGGCAGAACAGCAAGGGTGACCTTCTTCTCTTCTAAAACATAAACCACAGCATTTTTACCATTTTTTCCCTTGATTTTTTTTTTCTTCTTTTAAGCGTTCTCAGTGCGTTAAGAGTATTAGTTTCAACAAACCACTTGCTGGTTGGCTGGGTCTGTACAAAATAAAACATGTTGTGTACGCGTACTTTACATTTTCAAATCAGTTTGGCTGTTGTGCTTATTGGTAGAGCTGTTTCTTCCACAGTATTTCCGTTACATGTGATGTTTGGAGTAGATGTTGTAGTAATGATCTTGAGAGAGCTTTTTTATTTCTTTATACATTTTAGTTGTAATTTAATTGTTCCAAGGATTTGTTTCTAATTTGAGCTAATGTAAATAGTATAAATAATCCTTAAACCAGCTATACATATAAATCTAGATAATCTAATATAATTAAATATTTAGACTCTGGTCATGATTATGTTCCGGAAGAAATATTTCTGAAGTATTTAGATTTAGAATTTATAGTCACTTTTGCTAAATTTAAGTTAATTAGCTATTAGTATATTTGAAATACAGCACAGTAGGAAACAGCCTTTGATTTAGGAAATGAGGGCTCTGGCTCATCTGTGAGCTACTGAGGACAGAGTTGTCTTTTACTAATGGTGTAATTTATAAATATTTTTTCCTGTTTCGATACTGGCTGGGGCGCTTGCGGGCCGTACGGGCTCCCGCAGACACGCCACCCTTTCTGCTGTCGGTGCAAGCTGGTTACGCACGGAGGGAAACCGCTCTGATCAAATCAAATGTCATGTGGGTGGCACTGCTGCGGGGTGTAAAACCACACAGAACCATGGAATGGTTTGGGTTGGCAAAGCCCTTTAAGCTCCCCCAGCCCAAGCGTTCCCCTACCCCTGCCATCCCACCCCCAAACCCTGGCCCTCAGCA